TGAATAAGCTGCTCACCTTTTTCTACTATCGTCATTGTATCCTGGATTCCACCTTTACTCCCACTCTTGTACTTACCTGTAGCCTCGCTGTAGCATATGTTCAAAATTTTATCTCTCCATTGAATCATTCATATTAGGAAACAAACACCATTTTAAAAAAATCCTCCCTGATGCTATATCTTTTCCAATTACCACCTCATTTTTCTGCTGCTTCTTACAGTAAAATTCCCCAGAATAATTATCTATTCTCAGTGTCTCCACTTCTTTACTAATTAGGCTTACATTTCCCATGGAGACTGCTGTTGCCAAGGTCACATTTCCAAAGCCAGTGGTCATTGTTGTTCTTATCTTTTCATTTACCCAGCTTCTGGTCAGCATATGGCACAGTGAAACAGTTTCTTCACTTGGCTTCCATCCTCCAGCAGTTTCTTGTTTTCCTCTTTCTCTAGTCGCTATTCTGCTCAGATTCCCTTGCTCATTCTTTTTATTCTGGCCTCTAAATTATAGAGTATATGGTAGACACAGTGTAATGAATCACTCCTCATACTCCCCTTGAGTATTGAGTGGGACTTGTGTCTTGCTTCTAGCCAATAAAATATGGCAATGATGCGAACATTTGGCAGATATAATGAAGGTTCCAAATTGGTCAACTTTGGGTTGCCTAAAAGAGAGATTATCTTGAGTGGGCCTGATTCAATCAAACGAAAGCTCTTGGAAGAAAGCCTGGGGGCAGGGTCTCTGAAGTTAGATTGTCTTTCCTGCTGACCTTAAAGGATCAAGCTATGGTGAGTTTCATAGAAATAAATTAGCAAACAAGCTGAGGAGGCCCCGAAGCAGATCTTTTGCCAGATGAGCTCCTGATGAGAGTGCAGCCTCTGACACCTACATCACAGCCTGTGAGCTAGGTAGTACGCCTGGACTGCTGTCCAGGGAAAGTGTGAGGTAATAAAGTGTGTTGTTTCAGTCAGTTAGTTTGTTTTTAGATTGATTATGGCAACAATAGAAAACAAGCATAGAACACTTTAGGATTTAGTCTCTGTGCACACTTCTATTCAACTTGATATTGTTACATAGATCCCATCTTCTATTCGTACCTTATTTTAGTGGGGGATCCTTACTGCAGAGGCTAAAGAACCAAAAGAAGCGCACTGCCTACACCTCTCTTACAAATAAATATTGAATGAAAATTATGATCCATCAATTAGATACATTAATGTGATATTTGAAAGGAAAAAATAGACACAGGTTATTCTTCCTGTGCTTTCACTGTTTTGATGATCGCAGTGTTGAGTTTATGGCTCTTGGATCTTATGAGGCAGTTGCATTGGTGCTCAGCATTCCAAGTTCAAGCCCCAGTTTTTTAGATTTCAAGAGGAAGTTCTGGTGGCTGCAGATACCAGAATCCACATCCTACTGTCAGGCAGTAGTCAAGTACTGACAGCAACTACTGATTTGGTTTCCTGCCCTGATTGTATGTATGGCATTCTTTCAGAAAGTATTATTGAGCCCTCCTTATGTGCCAGGGAATATTCTAGTTGCTGAGAATATAGGTAAGCAGACTGAATTCCTTCCTGATGGGTCTTTAGACAATAGTGACACCAGTAGTTCTAGTGGAAGCTTCTTGATTCTGCACTTTCTTCATTGTGGTAAGAGATTAGTAGCTCTTCTGGTTAACCAGTTCTGCAATATCCTGGAAAGTATTTTGAAGACACAGCGTAGAGCTCATTCTTCTAATCATCCCCTTGATCCCTAAGGACCTAACTCCCTAGACTAAATCCTTTCTTGTTTACAGTAACTGTAATGATTCCTGTTTCCTGGGCTGAACAACCATCTTCTCTCCTGTGGGTAAAGAAAGGCCCACGTAGCACATGAGATTCTAATATTTGAACAAAAGCAGAATTCTGTTTAAGAAGGAGGTGGTTATGCATAATTGACCTGCAGTGTTTGCCATACACTTTCCCTGCCAAGATAAGTTAGGTGGACCTCCTGGGTATTTTCTCTGGTCTTTGCTTCCAAGATATATATATGAGCTTCTCTTGGGTAAATAACACAAGATATTTCCTAAGTGTGGGCCTCCTGTGGAACTTTGCAAAGGTTGTGATTGCTTTGAATAATTTATCCACTCTTAGGGTATTTATCCATTCTTTCCCTTTTCTCCTCACTCCCCTTACTTTATTTTCAGTATGTGGCATTGAAAACGCCAGAAAGAATAAACTTAGTATCCCTCACCCACATTTGGGCAATATTAAATTTGTTTTGGAGTCCTATTCAAATTTTCATTAAGCCCATTTGTACTGGGTTGAACAGTGTCCCCTCAGAATTCATCTTCTCCTGCTACCTCAGAAGGGGGGACCTTATGTAGATACAGTGTCTTGCAAATGTCAGTAGCTAAGATGAGGTCATAGAGGAGTAGGGTGTGTCCTAAAGCCAATGAGTAGTGTCTTTATAGGAAGGCTATGTGAAGACACAGGAAAGACACACAGAGGCAAAGATTGGATTGATGGAGCTATAACCAGAAAATGTCAAGGACAGCCAGCAACCACTGGAAGCTAGGAAGGGGCAAGGAGCACTTACTCCCAGAGTCTTCAAGGAGAGAATGGCCCTGCTGACAGTTTAATTTTGGACTTTTAATCGTCAGAACTATGAGAAAATTAATTTCTGTTCTTTTAAGTCACTCAAGTCTTACAGCAACCGTGGGGAACCAATATGTACTTTAATACTTTTCAGGTACAGATCAAGGTTATTTTTATGGCAGGATTAGAAATGGATAAGGATAAGCTGAGAGAGAAAGTTTGAGCAAAATGATGCATGTGGAATAACCAACCATGCGGAGACCAAGTAAGAGTGCAAATTGTTATGGTAATGGTCTACATAGATTGTAGGATATCGAATACCCTTTGCGTACATAAAATTTCTTAGATTTTCACTTAATAAAGTCAAAAATATACAATAAGGTAATAGTAAGTGGTAGCTTAAATAAGAACATGTTATCAAGTTCTTCACCTCAAACAATTTTAAGGTTGTAGGTGCATTAACTGGATAACAAACCAATCCCTTATATTTCGTTTTTTTTTTTTCCTCTATGATGCTTATCACCTTGAGGGTATCCATATTACCATATCACCTTGATGGTATCCACCCTGATAGTGTCTATCCTCCAATCTGGGCCCTGAAGGATAAACAAGGCCTGGATGATCAAGTTGGAGGAAGAAGGAACTTGAGGCAGTGAGACGAGCATGAACAAGGGCTGGTAGCAGCAGTTCTGCTTATATTCTTGTTGTGTAAGAAACTCAACCCTGACAACCTAAGAAATTTGGAGTATACTAGATTGCAAAAATGAGATTATATAGGTAATTGGCCACAGGCATGACTGAATCTAGGTCTTCTAACATCAGATCCCATTGCCATCCAACCTTCATAGTGTTTCCCTTATGCTCTGGCAAGCCAGGCCCCTGCTCTAGGCCTGAGTTTATGGGAAATCTTGTGATTTGGAATGTCTTTCTTGAAGTTTTTAAGTCTTCATTTTGGATGGGTGGTGACACTGGGACAGAGTGGCCAGGCCAGGACAAGATCCCACACACATTCTACTCATTTGAAGCATGTTCATTGAAATATTCTACATTCTCTCTGTGACTGTGACTGGTTTGGTCTAGTAGAGTTACCCAAGCTCAGAGCAGGACTCAAGTGCACTCCCTTCCCTGTGATACTCTCCAAAATGCTACTGTGTGTGTGTGTGTGTGTGTGTGTGTGTGTGTGTGTGTAGGGAAATGTTGTGGGGAAGCAGGGAAAGAGGCTCAGGCAGAAGCCACACGTTGCTCCATGACTCTCATGTCTATGGTCATCTTTACTTTCTAAAGCTCCCCTTCAGTTCCAGAAAGGCAACCTAGTAAGTGAACTATTCCCAATATTGATTCATTTGTGAGATTAATCCTCTACAATGGGACTGACATGCTGATTTTATGTCTCAGTCACTTTAGACACAGGATGAGCTTAAGTTTGGGGGCTACTAATGTCCACCTGTGATTTTTGTACTTGAGCTGGGTACACGAGCTCTGGTGTCAGCAATTGCCCACTTGCACTGTAGTGTTGCTTTAAGTCTGCAGCACTTGGGGTGTCGGGGGCGACATCCTTTACCTTGTGTGCATTCACCACTGGCACCCAGGGCAGTTGCCGCAAACCTCTGCAGACTCCATTCCTTGAGTTGGGCAGTACTCCAAGGATCTCTATAACTCTTTTCTTAAGGCTTCTCAAATCATTTCTCTGCGAAGCCATTGGACCCTTCTGATTAATATCCTCTCTAATCTTCAGTTGACATAGTGATATTATGGTCGTCTGAGTGAGCCTTGAACCATGCTACACAAGAAATATATAGTCCTGGTGAAAATGGACTTAGCTTCCTCACCCCTCGTCCATTGGCTACAAAGAAAGCAGTCAAATGGAGTGATGAATGTCACGTTAAAAATTCAAGAGAAGATGTAGTAAGAAGATGTACTCATCTATGCTTATGCTATAAAATTATAAATTTATAAAATTATCAACTATGAATTATAAAATTATAAATTATGAATAAGAATGATCTTTCATATTTTCTTGCATACTCTGGGTAAGACCTGCTTTTGTGGTCATCAATAAAACACAGTCACTTCTGAGAGTCCATTAGAAGCCTATGTTCATAGTTCCACCATGGATGATGGAGCTTTGTGAATAATGATGCAGCCACAATTAAGTAAATGGTAGTGAGGAACTTGCCAGGGCGAAGACATGCTGTTAGTGAGGAACACTGTGTTGACAGAAAGCAAATGAAGAGCTGATTCATGCACCTGAACAAAAGAGATGATATACAGGCACTATGCAGACTCATCTAAACTGACTGGACAATAAGCAAATGCAGAAGTATCTTTTCTATACTCAGTACTGCACATTGTTAATTATGTATATGAACAGACCTGCAAAAATTATTTACCAGCACTTTCTGTCTCCGTCTCTTACCTCTCCTTCAGTACACTGGGCCTCATTCTGTCTTACTACGGACGTGATCTCACTAGAAGGTAGAAAACATGGATGCAGGTAGGTATTGGGTTGCATATAATTGCTTGTCACCAAAGAGAGATGAGAATGAATGATATCTAATCTAGAAAATTTCAGGAAGACACTCTGTCTCAGCATGAGTGATGTTCCCATGCTTTAAGCAAATCGTTGTGATGTAGTCAACAACTAGCCCCAGCTCAGAGCACCTACTAAAAGCCTCTGCCAGAGGCAATGTCACTGTGAGTGGAAGTGCTGAGAACCACATGGAATAATGAAATGTTCAATGGCCAGGACTAGCACTGCTACCAAAGAGGAAGGGATGCAGTATAAATGAAAACAGCAGATGTGCCTACCAAAGTTGTTAAAGTGGAATAGAAACCTGGAAACGTGAGTGGCAGACAAATCCTAGAAGATAGGGTTGTAGTGTATTCAGATTACAATTCATTGCATATCCCAAGTGGAGTTGGTAAAATAAATTTAAATGCCTTATCCAATCATCTGTAAATTCACAAAATCATATTAAGCAAAGGCCCCATAAAGTAAATGTAGGAAAAGATAAGGGTGGTCTAATTTTACAGATTAATTTCTGATAATAGAATCTTCTCTTTTGACTATAGGAAGAAACAAATCCAAGCAAGCAAATAAAGTGAATAAAAAAGGAAATCCCACGAACTCTGCTGGAGGTCTTTGAGAGGCTGAACTGCCGCTTGCATTTCTAAAGCATGATGAACTATTTATAATCTCAACATTTTTCAAAATTCAGCAGATTTAAATGCTGCAACCTGACTTGATGAGTAAAGAGATTTAAGATAGAACTATAAGCAACATGAGTAGAATAGTCAAACCCAGACCAGATGGCTCGTTAATGCAAGAGAAGTAGGCTAGCATTAGCATGGTGTTATCTGTGGATTTTTAAAAAATCCTTCAAAACTGTTTTATTCAAAAGCTTGATGCCTGAAGCTTCACCTTGAGCAACTGGGAAAGGCAGAGAACTTTCTTTGTATACCCAGCATCTGTTTCTCCCAATGGTGACATCCTGATTTTCCTTAAAGCATCTCTCAGCTGGGCCTAGTGGTGCATATTTGTAATTTCACCACTCAGGAGGCTGAGACGGGGGATTGTGAGTTTGAGCCCACCCAAGGAAACTTACTGAGATCCTACCTCAAGACAAAAATAGATAAGAAGTACTGAGAATGGCATTCAGTGTTTAGGCCCTGGGTTCAATCCCTGGAACCACAAAAAAAAAAAAAAAAAAATCTCTTGCAGTGTATGATGGTGGTGCATACTTGTAATCCCAGCACTCAGAAGGCTGCTAATCTTTTTAGCAACCAACTTCTCCACTGTTCCAACTTTGTAGGCTCCAACTTTCCTTTCTGGCCAGATTCAGAACTTTTAAAATAATTCAGCTGTGCCATTTGCTCTTGATTCTCAATGTAGACTGGCTAACATCCTCAAACAGTATCCATGCCACAGCCTGGATGCTGAGCTGCCTTGAAATTTCCTCCACCAGATTAATTAGTCCATTATCCTACACCTCAGTCTCCCACAGTCTCAGTTCATGGACACAGAACTACCGGATTTATTATTTACCCTTCTGGATTTCAGTGTTGCTTTGGTCCCATTTGTTTGTATCCACCTTTCCGTGCCTTTTGGAATGGGAATGTTTATCCTGTGCCATTATATGTTGGGGGTGTTTAACTTTCTTCCTGAATTTGATAGGGGCTCATAATTAAGACTTTGCCTTTTACCAAAAAATGCCTCAAGATTAACCTTTATGGTAGAGTAGTACTGCATTGTATATAAATACAACATTTTCTTTGTCCATTCATCTGCTGATAGGTGTATGGGCTGTTTCCAAGGTTTAGCTATTATAAATTGTTCTGCTAAAAACATTGGTATAAGTGTATCACTATAGTATGATCACTTTAACTCTTTTGGAAAGATAACTGGAAGGGGAATAGTGGTCAAATGGAACTATAGTTTTAGTTGTTTGAGGAATCTCTATACTGATTTCCTAGTAGTTATACCAATTTACACTCCTACCAACAATAGAGGAGGGTTCCTTTCCCCTGCAGCCTCACTAGCATTTATTATTGGCTGATTTCTTGATCATAGCCATTCTTTCTAAAGTGAATGGAATCTCAGTGTTTTAATTAGTATTTCTCGAATGGTCAGCAATGGATACACCTCGAGACCGTAATTTTAAGTGAAATAAATCAGACATACAAGTTTAAATATCACATTGTTCCTCTAGTGTGAGAAACCCAGGTATAAAGAAGGAGCAAAATAGAGGATAGATATTAGGAAGTAGGAGGAACTTTTTCAAATGGGAAGGAGGACAAGAGATGGGAGGAGGTAGGGAGGAAGAAAGGGAGAGTGATTGAAAGAAAAAAAGAATTGAAGAAATGGAAATAGAGCTTTTACAAATGGAGAGGGGGAAAAAGGATGGAGGGAAAGGAGAAGGGAAAAAAGAATTAAGATGCGTTATGTACATGTACAGATACCACATTATGAATGTGATCATTACATACTGCAAACACATACTAATTTAAAAAAAAAAAAAAAAAGATGCCTCACAGAGAATACCAAGGAAAGCCTCCTTATAGTTATCCTGGCTTGTTTGGAGAACCATGAGCTCAGAACTGGCTCTCAATTGCCTGCATGCTTATTTGTTGAAACAAGAAATCAAATCCATGGTCCCCATTCCTGCCTAGAGACAGAAACAGGGAGAATGTATTTATCTCTCTGTGTTTATCCCCATGTTGAGGAGAAAGAGTTTTTTTCTCTTCTCATTAAAAGTCGTACAAGCTTGCTCAGAAAGAAGAAAAGTAAGAGTTTGCCTTAAGTCTCAGAGGAGACTTTGGACTTGTCCTTGTCAGTAATGCAGAAACTGTTAGGACTTCAGCAACTCTTAGAGATGGACTAAGTGCATTGTGTGTAAAGGCATGTGCATGGATCTTTTGCAGCTTAAGGATGGAATATTATGGTTTATAGCTAGATATCCCCCTAAAACCTCATACACTCAGAGTTGGGCCTTTTGGAAAGTGGTTGGATTATTTATAGTTGACTTGCTGTGAGGAGGCGGGCCCTGGCAGAAGAGGCAGGTCACTGGGGCCATGCCCTGGAAGGTTACATCTCCCTTCCCAGGTCCTCCCTTGACTGTTTTCTGGATGCCATGCTGAAAGCAGCTATTCCTCTGTCATGCCACCCTGCCTCAGAGCCAGTGGACTGTGAGTTGAAACTACTACAAACTGTGAGCCAAAATAAACCTCTCCTCTTTTAATTTGGAGATGTTGAGTATTTTGTCCCGGCAATGAGGACAAAGCTAAGTGGAAAGACAGAGTAAGTGGAAATTCAAATTTTCTCATTACAAAAATTGATATAAGTATTGAATTTGCTGTACATCATTTTCTTCTGCTCCTTGAAGCCAGTAGTGGTGACAGACACTGGGCCAACAGCCAGGAGAAGGCATGATGAGATTCTCTTTCTGAAGGCATTGCACTTCTCCTTCATTTCCCAATTTGGCAAAGTGCCAGAAGAAGCTGCAGAGTGAGGGGAGGTGGTTTAGCTATGATTTAGCCATCTTATCAGTGTTTATGAGTGGACTGATCCAAGTTTGTGTACAAATTTTACTTCTTCAGACCATTTACCGTCTACCTGTGTTGAGACAGAGGACACTGTGTGACACAGTGCCCTAGATATCCAGGATGTAGGGAAAAAAACACAGATAGAATCTTTCTCTTAGGGAGCTTATGCTTCCTCTTGGGTGAGGCAAAAAGAAAACAAATCGATCAACAAGATATTTTCTTCCATTTGAAGAAAGTAAGATAAAGTGTGTGACAAAAGGTGACTGGCAGGCCTGATACCTCAAGTGGGGCGATCCTGCTAAATCTAGAGCAGAACACTCCAAGTAGAGGAAACAACAAATACAAAGGCCCTCAGCCAGAACAAACTCAGTGCATTTGAGACATACAAGGGCCGTGAAGGAGTATTAGTTCCCTTTGCTGCAATCACAAATGATCAGAAACTTAGTGATTTAAAATAACAGATGGTAATTATTCGAATGGTTCAGGGAGTCCAAAGTCCAAAGTGGGTTTGACAGGGCTGAACTGCAGGTGTCAGCAAGGCCACCATCCCTCCAGGGACTGTAGGGAGAATCCATTTCCTGGCCTTTTCTGGCTGTAGAACTACCGCTGTTCCTTAGCTATGGCCCTATCTTCCATCTTCAGAGCCAGCAGAGTAGCTTCAAGCCTCTGTGACCCTCCTCCTTCTCCTTGTAAGGACACCTGTGGTTACGTTGGGCCCCCCCAGATAATCCAAGGTAATCTGCTTACCTAAAGATTCTTACTCAGATCTGTAGATGGACACTTTTGCTGTATAAAGTAACACTTTTCATAGATTTCAGGGATGAGAACAAGGACATTTTTGGTGGGCTATTAGTGTAACCATCACAAAGTGTTAAGGGGAAAAGCAGTGGGAAGGGATCACTGGTGCTTGAGCTTTAGGTAGCTCTGTGGGATAGGAAGCTCTCAGATCTGATGTAAATTTTCAACAGGCTTATTCTGAATATTGAATGAAGAATACAATAGTGATTCCATAGTGGGAGCAAAGAGGTCAATTAGGAGGCTGTTGTTTGGTTTCAGGGAGAAGATGGGGACATGCAGACTTCGGGAGAGCTGCTGAGCTGCTCTGTGACTCTGAAGTCTTACCATCAAACAAATGTTGCTAGCTGTATTGAGTCTGCAATAATGCATGAAAAAGATTCAGGGTAGTATTTGATTTCTAATAGTGCTCAAAAATGGTAGCTATTATTTTCATTATACTTTATGAAAATTAACCTTCTAATAAAAAATATAGAACATTTAAGAAGTAGCAGAAACCTAAAGGATGAAAGAACAAATGAAGCCCAATGAAGAGAAGCCATTTACCCAAGGACATCCTGTGGTTATCGGAGAGTATGAGGTAGTGATCAAGGTAGTGATCAAGGAGCCCATAAGAGAATTATGGAAAAAGAGCCACTTTTTGGGGCTGGGGGTTTAGCTCAGCGGCACAGCACCTGCCTGGCAAGCGCAAGGTCAGGAGTTTGATTCCTGGTACTGGAAAAAACCAAACAAACAAACCAAAAGAGCCACTTCTTGTTCTAAGAAACCAGAAAAACCAGCTTAGAGCTCAGTGGGAAAGGCCTGGGGAGGTTGATACTGTGAAGGATATCAGCAAAGGCCTTGTGCTTGCAGGTGGCATCAAATGACCCAGTTTTAAACCCTATTATGCTGCTATTGGCTGTGTGATTTGGAGCAAGTCTCTTAATCTCCCTGTACTCCATTTATTTCTTTTCAAAAATGGTCGTAATATCACATACCACAAGGTTGTCATGAAGTTAAAATGAGAAAATGTAAGATAGAGCATGCTATACACTCTAGAGGTTATAAAGTATTATTTATGCCCTTTGTCCCAAGTCACCTACTTTCCATTCCACTCAAATCCTTAAGGTATGAGGACATGCTTATCTTCAGTGGTGTAGCAAAGCTCATCTTCTCACAAGGGTTTCTGTCTTCTAATGTCCTCACCTAAATAACAGGCCCAGCAATGCTTATCAGTTTCTACTTCTGAGTACATCAATTTTTTTTTTTTTATTTTTTTATTTTTGGTACTGGGAATCAAACTCAGGACCTGCCAGGTAGGCACTGAAGTACATCAATATTAAGTACATCAATATTTCCCTCCAAAGGTTGACATTCAAATACAAAATGTGCTTTCTCCAATAATATGGCTCTGGGTTTTCATTCTCCAAGCATTTTTTCTATTTGAAAATTCATTTGTTATAAACTAGAATCCTCATGTAATAAAAATAACTGTGCTCTTCAGCAAGATAGTTTTAAAGCTATACGTAACTGGGAGATATTTATAGCAAAGTCAGCTTAAGGATGTACTTAGCCAACTAGCATTTATATATATGCCTTACATAATAGGGTTTGGAAAACTTTTAAAGAGCATTAGAGATGACAGTTTTGAGACCAAGTGAGTATAAGTCAACATTAATATCACCAGAAAGCCAAAGCTGTCCAAGAGATGGAGGGAGAGGGGAGAGGAAGGGGAGGGAGAAAAGGGGAAGGGGATGTGAAAAGAATTAAGATGTGTGACACACATGTACCAACTCTCCACAAGGAATGTAATCATTATGTACTGCAGACGTACCAATAAAAATAAAAGTTAAAAAAATAAAACATAATCCTATAAAGGCAAATTTTTAAAAAGG